CATATGATGCACACAGTAATAAACAAAATCAGTAGTCCTTAACTAGGTGTGAAGATGTCCTGTCAAATAGAATGTCGGTTTTTATACAAAACTGTGAAGCATCAATGCTTATAGAGATCCTTTTCCCAGAGTCATTCGTGGAAACTAGAGCTTGCCAAGGTCTGAGAGGGAACTTTTTCGAAGAACAAAATGCACTTGAAATAATACTCGGATGTTTCCTTGATGTATGCTTCATATGGGCAGGAGAGGCCTTGCCTGAGCTCTGCTCAGAAGGTTACCGACTAACGCAATTGTCAAAAATATTTCTGTAGAGAGAGAGCACTTGCTGCTCAAGGTTTGCGTCCTCTTCCTTATGTAACTCGATCTCTGCTATCAATTCCTTTGTCTGAAATTAACCAGTAGTTGTCAAGTTATTTTCAGCCTTTTCCATAACTCACATGCTGAACGTTAAACAAAGCACACACCTTTACATTGCAAGTCAAACAATGTGGGACTTTCTTGTTTGATTAAACAAATATCGGAGAAAAAACATCACAATATTTGCCGAGGATCGGTTTTCATCAGCAACACAGAAATAAAGTTACCTGTGTATTGAAATGCCTGTGTCCTGGAGACAAAGTGCTTGAAGCCCGCCCCATCGCTCTCTCGAGCATAAGTCGCATAGATTTTTCTTGTTGCAAACGTGATTGCAGCAGTTCTATCTGAAAATGGGAAAACCATGATTATGCTATTGTTGAAACATATGCAGCAAAGAGATATATTATACATCTATTCAGCATTTAGAAGCCATTGATTCATTGTTTATGTGCACATGGAAAGTCTCTCATAGAATACATATAGGGTCATTATCCATTTACTGTCCCAAAAGAAGCAGAATTAAAAGGGTTTGGCCTTTCAGATTCTGCATAATTTAGCACTAAGTTAATACACATTGATTCATCTCTGCCACATTTATCAAAGGAAAACATATAATTTCAAGGCTTACGTCTTTCTCTAATGAGGCTCACTGGTTCAACGATGTAATCTTGTTGCTATAAGCAGAGCTGTCATGAAGAGGACTTCGAGTCCTGTAAACTCTTGTCGATAATGGAGATGCCTGCATCTTTTCATATTTGAAAATACAATAAAAGGGTAAACCACAGATGAAGAAGTATTCAAAATTCTTATTCATAATTCTAAAATGAAAGAATTGGAAAAGCTTGAAGCCAGAAAATGTATCCTCACATGTAGTACATTCTGCTCTTTCTTAGCATTATGCGAAACTCGTCTCTCGAAACACCGATATTTCTGTCAGACGCACTGAAAGAAAAACAAGATCCCAAGTCTTCCACTTGCTTATCAAGTAAAAGCAATACCATAGAGAATTGAAAAAGAAGGTTACCTCTTGGAACGCCTATGTTGAGCCTGAATATGTGGATTTGGTGACCAAGAAGAATCTTCAGTCTCTTTCTTTCTTCCTCCTGCTGTTGCAGCTCCTTCTTCCTGATCTAATCAGAAACCGCCCAATTCTTGTATGTCTGCAACTTTATACGCTATTCAAACTTTCACATTCATATTCCTTTGTTTAAAAACATTCAAAACTGACAAGGAAAACAAACTTCCCGACAAAGGTTATATGATGAAGTTGTAATGAAAGTGGCCAGACTCAAGAGGGATAGCTCATGTAAATGGAAGTGATTGAATTCAAAGGAAACATAAATGTTCAAACATTAGAATGTGATGTAAACATGGCAAAAACTTTCCCTCCCCGATGGGACCAGGTAGTTGCCTGCTTTAGATGATCACCATCAGAGTTGTTGAGTGCATTCAATGTGAGGAGTTATTTCACCTTGTCTTTTTTTTCCCTGTTAGAATTTCGAGTATGAGAAAGTTTGCAATTTAGTGTTGCTTCTAAAGTATGTGGCTGCACTCCAAGTCTCCATTAAACTTGTTAGTGTTTTTTGTTAGTGCTTGATTGAGAATAGAAATTTGTATCGAATAAATACACTTCCATCGACTGACTTTTTCTTTACTCACCTGCATGCTGTCGCTGCTAAGCCAATCGGGAAAGTAAGGTTAGAAACAGCAAAAGCAGTCAATAGGAAATAGTATGAAGAAATCGTTCTACGAATTGGCATTAAAATATAATGGCAGATTACAATGATACCCAAAATTATTATCCCTACGGTGAAGGCAAAATGCAGGACAGATTTGGTCCCAACGAGATGCTTGGATAGTTGGATTTCGCCTAGTTATGGCTGGGATTTAATTTCTAAGTGTGGGTTTGGTGATCCATTTTGTCTTGTTTGCTTGCTTTATTTATTAACAATAAATGAGCTTCAATTTTTATTCTAAGTGAGTAAAAGAATAATCATTCTATTTTAATTTATTAGATTGAATTATTTTCAGTTTTTTTTCTTATATTTTATAGTTTTTTAGTTATGCCATGATGAATATTCAAACAACATTACAACAAATATATAGTTAGACCTGTTAAAATTTGTTAGAAAAAGGATTTTGTGCATCATTCATACATAATGGTTTCTTTAAGATCTATTATAGTGTTAAATTGATTGATTATAATTTTTCGTAAAAAATCTAATAATAACTAGTATTAATTTATTGTTATTAGTTTTAAAGTTCAAACATTAATGACGGTAAAATCATATGTAAAATATTAAACGTTCATTATCAAATTATTAAAATTTCTTAGATTAGATATGCTTGTTGATTTATATTAATAAAAAAATAACTAATGGAAGTATTAAATGACATTTTTTAACTTCACACTAAGAAAATGACTTAGAAACTTTGTGATAGACTATGCTAGATGCCAGTTTGGTATCTCTTTAGCATAGGAAACTTGCCGAGAAGCCCAAATCTCACAGCTGAGAAACACAACAGATCCAAGTTTTCCAGATTAGCCTCTCTGTTAGTTCCTTTCATTTCTGTACCCAGTGACACAAATCCTCTGCGTTTCAAACCAGAGTTATACTCAAAGGACCACCCCCCCCCCAAAAAAAAATAATCTCCGTAAGTCTCTTTCAACGGTTCGATCTAGATCTTGAAGTTTACAACGATGATGCTGTTTTGTTTTTTCTTTCTAATTGTACATTCAATTGATCGTTTACCTTGGGTTATGATTGCGTGCGGTGCAGTTCAAAACAATGATAGAGGTTGAACCACCGAGTCCGTTAAGATATATAATCGGAGCAGCGGTCATGCTGATCGGAGTTGTATTGCCAGTCGGATACAAGATGTTCCGTAACAAACGTGCCCCTTCCTCTTCCTCTTATTCCAAACAGAAGTAGGTGTGCCTTTACTTAAATGCTACATTTCCATTAAAGAGATTATCATTTCCCTTCTTAATTTGAATTGCTTGTTGTCAAATTAGATCTAGTGATAATTGAGGTTCGTTTCTCAAATTCTCAGTTTTGGAGATTTAACAACTTTGGACTTTGTTTGGATCGAAGTGTGTTTTATTTACATGATAAATTGGTATTTATGTTTGGTGTTGGCATTTCAGGAACAAAGTTTTAATATAGAGATATTGGTTTAAGAGAGATATTTTTTCACGAAATTTGTGGTTTAAATTTGAAGGAAGACGAGGGAAGTGTTGAAAGAAGGCCTTGATTGACCTGCAGATACAAAAATGTAAATGGCTTATAAAACCATCAGTCCTATTTTGTGCTGGACTTGGTTGTTTGAGTATTAGTTGAAGTTTAAAAGATGGAATGTGTTGTTTTGTTCAATTTATGGATTTTGATTAGGTTAACTATTTAGCACCATAATATATAAAATCTATGATATTGGTTGTATTGCTACTAATTTGAGTTTATAGAAGTCTTTTGTTTATATATGCATTTGATTAGGTATATATATAGTCACTAGCATCTATCATGTAGCTGCATTTCCTTTCTGGAACATCTATAGGTTCTTCCCTTCATGTTGTGTGTGATGAAAATGGCATTTTGATAGGGTTTCTGTTGTGTGTTTCATGGACGGGAAAAAAGCTTGCATCTTATGTTTTTCTTTGATTGGTGTTTTGGGTGGATATGCTTAGTTATATCACTATTAGCATGGCCTGCTGGTGGGGTTAACCAAACAAGGACATCTTTTGGCACCACAAATTAGCTTAGAGCTGGTTCTAAAACTATCTAAAAGATTCCTTTGTTTCCAATTCATGTTCTTGATTGATTAGGCACATTCAGAGAAGTGCTAATTGGGAGGCGGATAAGTTAGCAAAATCAGGCATTGGTTAATTTGTCTACTTTTTGCCCGGTTGGTCTGGTTTTTGTTTCTAGTGGGTCATGCTTAGGCTAGGTGTTTGTTCCCAACTGGACTCTTCCTTTTTCTGTAGTACTAATTTTTTTTTATAGAAAGTAGGCCTCATTAAAAACCTCCTTCAAGCCCTGCCATGTTATGAAGGTAACATGACGGAACAAAGGAGGAAAAGAGTGCCAAGAAACTTTTATTCACAAGAGGCAAATTACAACGACTGAACAAACTCCTAAACTTTCAACTGAAGAACATAAGACTTAAAACAAACCACCTAACAAACAGGAAAATACAATTCCTGCTAATCAACACGATCATATAACCCAAAAATCACCCTATCCCATCTTTAGCTAGTTTGTCAGCTTCCCAGTTTGCGGCCTCAAAATATGCCTAAATATAATATCTTTTCCAGTCAAACTCGAAACTATATCCTTCACCAAGGATAGATGCAAAGGGGGGCTTAAACCCGGATTCTGGATCCACTTCAGAGCGTTAGATGAGGCTGATTCCATGATAAATCTCTGATTTGGGACAAAATCCAACTCCTCCATAAGATAAATCCCTCTTTTAATTTCCAATAACTCTGCCAAGATAGAAGGACCACCCCCTACTGATTCAGAGAACCACTGTAGCAATAGTCCACTGCTATCCCGAATCAGACCACCAATACCTCTTTTTTCCCACCCCGAAACCATCGCTCCATCAACATTTAACTTTAGAAACCCATTCGGTGGAGGAACCCATCAAGCTGATTGATAGCAACCCTTTCCTGATCTGCCTGCCGAATCTGCAAGTTTCAAATCACCTACTAGAGAATATAAAGGAATGGCCACATCCTTAAAACGAGCACTAAACCAGGAAGCCACTCTAAATCTAACAATGAAGGATAATCTAACCAAATCCAGCTTTCTTTTCTGAAAGATAATCTCATTTCTATATTTCCAGACTGACCACATCACTGCCATAGGAATGAATTTCCAATTCAAAGAGTTAGTCATAAAATCATCCCACAAAATTATAAAGTCCATGATACACTTTGGAATCACCAATGACACATTCCACATTTTCAAGAAGGAAGACCACAGACCCCACACAACCCTGCAATGCAGAAATAAATGGGAAACTGATTCCACCTCCCGGCCACACAAAACACAAAGATGATCAACAATCTCTGCAACACTTCTCTTAGCTAACTCCTCTTTAACCGATTCTCTTTGCTGCACTAATTGCCAAACAAACATTTCCACCCTTGGAGGAGCTAAACCTGTCCAAATATTATTTTCCCAATTCACATGATTCTGCTCAAAACGACCTTGGTCAAAGAAAGAGTTTATACAAGACTTTGTTGTGAAAGTTCCTTCCCCATTCCCTAACCAAATCCAACGATCATCTTCAGCAGGAAAAAGAGAGGTATTATTCAACATAGTGATCAACTGCAACCACTATTCAATTTCCCAATCAACCAAATTCCTTCTCATTTGGATGTCCCACACCCAACCCGAGGCATTATTCACCATAAACTCCATCACTTTGCCCGCTCTATTATTTGATAAAACATAAAGTCTAGGAAACAAAATTTTCAAGGGAACATCACCCAACCATACATCATTCCAAAACTCCACATCTTCCCCATTTCCTGCCTTCAAACGCATATTCATTCTAAGACAATCTCCAAAATCATCACTGTTGAAGAAGTTTTTCACCACACATTTCCAAATCCACGATGCACGAGCTGACCACGAATTCCCCATAAAAATGGAATTCGAATCCATATTGTAAACAACACAAACTACTCTCTTCCACCAAGACTTTTTTTCAGAAGTAAACTTCCATACCCATTTCCCTAGTAAGGCTCGGTTCATTAGTGCTAGATTAGGGACCCCTAGACCCCCCAATTTTTTTTGGTTTAGAAACCGACTTCCAATTGACCCAATGGATTTTTTTTCTTGTCAACCGAACCCCCCCACAGAAATGAAGCCATGATAGAGTTAAGTTTAAGTAGCACAGAAGCTGGAATTCTGAACATAGAAAGAAAATAGACGGGTAGAGAGCAAATCACCGATTTGACCAATACCACCCTTCCCGCTATCGACAACGATTTAGCTATCCAGCCACTCAATTTAGTATGAAATCTCTCCACTATAGGATCCCACATAGCAGCCGAATTCCTCTTGTACCCCAAAGACAGTCCTAAATATTTCGATGGAAGATATCCAACCGAACAACCAATAACGTCTGCCCAAGTAGCTAACTCCTCATGTTCAACATTTACTCCAAAAATCCTTCTTTTGCCTAGATTTAACTTCAACCCCACTGGAAGCTCATAAATGAGTAACACTCTTCTAACATTCCTCAACTCACGAATAGAGCCTTTACTGAAAATTATAAGATCATCCGCAAATTGAAGATGTGACAGTTTGAATGCTCTGTCATGCACTCCTAAATCAAACCCCAAAAACAGTCCCAAATCCACTGCTTTAGTTAACAACAAATGCAACAACTCAACAGCCAAGTTGAAAAGCATAGGTGAAAGCGAACATCATTGTCTCAGACCCCTGGATGTATGAAATTTCTCCGTAGGAGACCCATTTACTAAAACCGAAATCTCAGCAGTTGACATGCATTGATACATCCACGCCCTCCACTTATCACCAAACCCCATTTTGCTCATTATTTGTATCAAGATATTCCAATCCACCGAGTCATACGCTCTCTTAAAATCCACCTTGAAGACTTCTCCCTTCAGCCATCTCTTTCTCCAAGAATCAATGCTCTCATTTGCAATAAAAGAGCAGTCCAAGATGTTCCTCCCCGGAATAAAAGCAAATTGGGACAGACTCATAATATCATTAATACACAAACTCAGCCTTCTAGCTAAGACCTTAGAAATAACTTTATATAGACCTCCCACTAGGCTAATTGGCCTAAAGTCTTCCAACCCCTCCGGATTTGCCTTCTTTGGGATAAGAGAAATGAAGGAAAAATTCACCTCCGGCTCCCACTCCTTCCCCACATAGAAATCCCTAAAAAATCGCATCATATCATCCTTCAAAATATTCCAGAACTTCTTAAAAAACACTAAGTTCAGACCATCCGGACCCGGAGCTTTGTTGATATCTGAATGAAGAATAGCTTCCCAAACTTCCTCTTCAGAAAAAGGCTTCTCCAATGCTAAACACTGACCTTCCGATAGCCTAAGAAAGTCCAGATTTAAGTCCTCTGCCTCCAGGGTGTTTTTTTGATCATATAACCTATTGAAGAACTCCATCACTGAAGCTTTAACTGACCTAGGATCTTCTATAACTTCACCATCAACTTTGAGGGCTTTAATGCAGTTTACCCTCCCTCTAATTGCTGCACTGTTATGAAAAAACCTTGTGTTCTTATCACCCTCCAATCTCCATTTCAATCTAGACTTTTGCACCCAAATTGATTATTCCTTCTTTTGTAACTCCCATAAATCTCTTTTTGCTTCAACAATAGAATTCATTGACACCAAGGAAGACCCTTGTTGTAGTTTCAATTCCATATCCTGGATCGCAGGCTCCAACGTTCTAATTTTACCTGGTAATTGAAGATAATCTTTACCAGACCAGTTTTTTGCCACATCCTTCACCCGGTTAAGTGTTTTGGAGATGGACATCAAGTTTTCCTGTGCACCCAGTTTGAGCAGCTCATTTGTCAACAATTCGCTAAACCCTTCCTCCTCCAACATATAATTAAACAATCTAAACGGCTTCGGCCCCCAATTACATTCCCTATTCTCCAGCAGAATAATGTTGTGATCAGAAATGAACCGAGGCTGCAAAGTTTGGCTGATCTTTGGGAATTGCGAGAAAAAACTATGATCAACTAAAAACTGATCCAATCTCTCAAAAGTGGGAGTTTCCCTATTATTACACCACGTGAACTGACCCTCCCCCCACTAAAGGCAAATCAATTAAATTTGCCTTAGAAACAAAATCTCAAAAATTATTCATCGAAACTACATTCACAACACCACCCATTTTCTTTTCCCGAGTCAAAAGGGCATTGAAATCTCCACCTAAGCACACTGGACAGTCTACCTGTTCCATAAATGAAGTTAACTCTATGAAAAACGACTCTTTATCAGTCTGCACACTTGGACTATAGACATTTATGAAACAACAAATGTTTGGTATACCATCCATCCATCCCTCTAATGCCACAAATCTAGTCTGGATGACCTTTTCCTTAACTACAAATACCTTCTAATTCCACATTGTTATTAGTCCACCAGACGAACCTAAAACAGGCACGAAAGCCAAACCATTAAGGATTTTCCCTCCTATTTTCCTTCCTAACATAGAACTAATAGCTTCTAATTTGGATTATTGAAGAAATAAGATAGTCGGTTTTTTCTCCTCAACAAATCTCCGAATAGCTCGAGCTTTAACCTTCCTACCCAGACCCCTAACATTCCAACACATAATGGACCATTCTATCATCAAATTCATTTTGACCTTAACAAATTTGATACTTTCCAACACTCCATTGCTTCTGTCCTCCCCTGTTTCTCATCTTCTGCTCCCATAACATCATCCTTACCACCACAACTTTTAGCATCCCACCTCCTAGCATAAACTCTGTTATGAAAGCCTCTTTTTTTATATAGAAGTTGGAGGTCTCATTAAAAACTCCCTTCATATTCGTTCTCATACTAAAAGTATGTTAACGAACATTGGAAGGAAGAAAAGAGTACCTCAAATTTTATTAATAATAATGCCCGATACAAAAGACACCACAGAATATCCTCTCATGGTGATATACCCCATGACAACAAACACCTAAACCTTAAATACCCTCATCTAAAGCCACAATCAAACCACCATACTTCTAATTACACCACCAGCAGTAGGACTAAAACAACACCACAAAACAAAATACAAATAAAAGCAACACCTACAATCATATAGACTAAAACAAAATAACGAATGAAGAGACAAGATCTAAAGAGACTCGTCTTCTTTAGGAGCCCAAGAATTCGGTTTGAATGAAGGCTCTATCTCATGCACCATGACCTTGAAGAAGTTATCACCAACCTTTAATTCAACCATCTCATCAATTCTCGTATCAACCTTTGTGAGGACTTGAATTTTTGCCCGATCAAAGGATGATGGAGACTGACAACTTTCGTCGATAGCTAGTAAAAGACCCCACTTATCCGTAATGTTCTTGAAAGTATCCCAATTGCATGCGTGAAAAGGAACACCCTCGCAAACTAACCATACTCGACGACACTCCATTACCAAACTCTTTGACGAAACTTCGACAATGGAGAACCACTCTGCGAGAATCTTTGATTTGTCGTTTTTCACACTTCTCAATGAAGCATTATCTTCGAAAATCATTAAAATCGCATTTTCAGCAGCTCTCATTAAGGTGAAGCCAGTGAGGACCTTCGCTTGCATTTGTCTAGCGAGATGACCAATTTTGACAAAATCCTTACACGACCCCACTAGACAATTGCTCAACACCTGAAGTTTTTCTTCATCTATAACACCTTCAACTTTATAATGATTCTTCCTGGAATCATCTTCCATCCCAGACTTGTGAAGAACATTTGTCGAAGACTTTCTCCAATAGGAATTTTGAGGTTTGAATTTAGCGAAAGAAACACCAATTTTGCTACCATCGATACTAGATCCATTCATTTTTGAGATTGTTCTCCTTGCTTCTTTGAATGATGCGAAGCGAATAAAACCAAAACGATCTCCTTTTAAATTCCTTTTATTAGGAATAAAAGCATCAATTACCCGACCATGAGAGCAAAATAAAGATCCAAACCTCTTCCAATAGATCTTCTCTGGTAAATGTTCAACAAATAACGTGAAACATCCAGACTTGTCAACACTGTCCCCCTTTGTGATTGACTCCCTGAATCCTTCTTGTAACACCCCAACCCGTATCCGACCCGGATACGAGTCCGAAGTGTCACATTGACTTTTCAAACATTTATTCATATAAAATATTGAGTAATTTAAAAACTTTTATAACATTCAACTTATTCAAAACGTTTACAAAACTATTCAGAGTTTATACAATATATTCTTTTGAATACATGCCAACTAGAACTTTATATATTAAAGTACATATTAATCACCTCTTTTCTGATATGACATTGAGTAAGGAGAACTGACCTATCTTACTCCACATCGCTCTTTACTCCTCTCCATACCTACGTGTAAATCACTTACACGCTAAGTCGTTGACTTAGTGAGGCATATAAAACATATAATAAAACCACAAACCATTTCATATAACATAATGCATACTTATACATATATCATTAATATACTTATCAGTACTCATATCATTATTACTAATTTCTTTCTATCATGTAAGCATATATTGAACCTTTCTATACTCACCATCGAGTATCCATGTCATTTCACAATAAATCATATATATAGTATCATAACAAGTTATTTATTATCTTTAAAGCCCTTGCATTAGCCCATGTATACATTTGAGAACTTAATGTATGTGAGTACATTGAGGTTGTGCATTAATGCTGTCACCACAGCTCGTATCAATTCCCTCATGGGGCACCGAACCTTAGTTCATTATTCGTCCCGAAGGACCAGTCCATAGATCCTGAAGAACCTAGGTAAACAATCCATATGTCCCGAAGAACATAGGTAAACAGTCCATATGTCCCGAAGAACATAGGTAAACAGTCCATATGCCCCGAAGAACATAGGTAAACAATCCATATGTGCCGAAGAACATAGGTAAACCCTCGACCCTTGGTATGCCAACTATACCACTAGCTCTCTTATCGCATAACATGGGTATTAACATTCATAACAATTCAATTTACTTATTCATATCCTTTCTCTTATGAACATATATATTTTCTTTTCAGTCACGTACCAAATTTACGTGTAATCATTGATCTTATAACCACATGTTCATTCTCTTCGGTCACATACCATATGTATGTGTAAACATATATCTAATATCATATAACATGCATCACAAATGCATGTATTCACATAAATCATTTCTTATAGCTTTATTCATATCACATATTCATATAAGCTCATATCTTATTTCACATATACTTTCCATATAACTTATATATCTCATAATCACACAAATCATAACATTGATCACCTATCAAATAACATTTTAGGAGTTACTTCTTACCATAGTAACTCCATCACTGGCTCATCGCAAGCCAAATGTTTATTCAATAATATAAGTACAAATTAAATTGCACCCACCTTAGCTCTGCTTTGATTCAATTATAATCCTTCAATTGATCCGGAACGAGATCACGTTCTATATCTACATCATCATACATAGATCTATATTAGTATTATAACTAATATACTCTAATGGTTCACTCTTTAGACTAAGAGAAAAGGCAATTTCATCTTTTAATGAAGGTATGCATCGGTGCACTACTGATGCATCGGTGCATAAAATACATTCGATGTTGTATTATTACTGGGATGCATCGATGCACTACTTATGCATCGATGCACGAATTGCATT